TTATTTATGAAAAAAAATTGTCTTGCTGCGATTTCTGGATTTACACAATTCTCGGCTATTCAGCGCTCCGCTGCTATTGTTGTATTGTCATATATAATTGTATTATGCGTTTATTGTATGCTTTTACATACATACATGCATACATATGTATATGTAATAATATGTATGCTTTGGTCCTTACTTTGAGTTCACTTTGGGTTGTGCGCTGTCCAGTCAGGGGTCACACACGCATACAAATGCCCACAATAAACTGATTAGGCACGCTGATCTTATCGCATGCATTTTTACGTACGTATATAACTGTATGTAGTTGTGTAAGTGTGGTAATCTCCATTGCATGTAGTAGTTGTTCTTTCTCCCTTGGCTCATGGCCCTTCATGTCTTGTGCCCGCTACGCCTTTGTCTTCAACGCTGTGRCTCTTCAAATAGCGACGAGGGCGACGTTGATGACGACGTCCTGCATGATTATGCCTTTTCTGTTCTTGCTTGTGCTACAATTTTGTAACCTTAAGAAATTAATACAAAACACGCAGTGGAAAAAAATCAAAATTAAACAAGAACAACAACTACGTGTTTATAAAAAAATTTAATTGTGTGCACACGTGTTCAAATTATCAGCAGGATTTCGGCTATTTTTTTTTTACTGACTGGTCATCACTGCCAGCATTTACTGCATTTTTATTGGATTCTTACTTTGGTTTTTATATTTTTTGTTTTCGATATAAAAAAGTAGGTCTTGGGTCAGCAAGCCCGAATTTTCAATTCTACATGCACCACCTCTATTAATCACAGCAATGAATTGTGTTTTAGGTTTGTCCTTTGTTAGCCGATATTAACGATGAAACGATATAAAGGCGAATAAGGTGGAGCATGAGTGCGATTCGCACATTTTGTAGTAATACATTTTCGAAGTAACTGTATGCCTTAGCTACAGTTTCAATTTCATTATATTTAATGGTTAGTTAAACTTCTAGTGTCTAATCAATTTAAGCTGAGTCCAATTGAGGAGTTTCTTGTTATTTATAGAGTATTTATAAGCAACATAAAAGGAATATTTTTTTATCTGCTTTTTTTTGTTAGGTAAGTCTGGTAGGTTGATAAGCCACGCATAGACCAGATTTCGTCCTTAGCGCTACCAGATAGAATCCCTTTACAAAGTCCATGAAGAGTAGTTATACTAGAATGCGAATTTCAGTAAGTTGTGCGGTCTAACTATCGAGAACCCTTACAGTGCCTCATACCATGAAGCCATGGTTTCCCTGATGCCTTGCTTTTGATATTTCCTACAGTTTTTKCGACTTATCAGTTCTATTCTCAGGTGTGCCTGTTACCTGTTCGCATTCCAACTATAGGAACTGCCGAGTGCCAGTAAGAACTTTGTATATTTGTGGTATACTGCTTTGACCTTCGCAGTTTTACGCCCCGGTAGATGCTTCCATCGGGTTTGCAGCTTTCTAGACAGATCGTCGTACAGACAATACATGGGTTTAGCAATGAAGGCCACGTTTTCGAATGAAAGCTTCCAGGTTGTACCGAGAATCTGCCTATATGCGTAAAAGGCAATGTTGGCCTGTTCTACTCTTTCTTCGATACAGCGCTTCCACAGCTGTTTGCTGTCGAAGACTACCCCAAGATACTTACTGCGATCCGTGATAGAGAGTTCTATCCTAGTTATCGAAGGGAGCGTCCATGGAGGCTTTTTATACTTTTTTGAAGGTCTTCCTCTTCGACTGCTTTGTCAGTCGGGTCCAGCATCGAATACTCTCAGAGCTGGAGTGTTTTCGCTCATTCAGACAACAGGACCTAGCCAGCGTAGATGCTGTCTTTTTATTCGCTGAACCATAACAATGGCTTCGTATATCTCGAACAGCGCATCATTCCATCGAATGCGATACTCGTCGTTGATAATGCCCAAAGGATCATAAATCTTCCGCAGAACCTTTCTCTTGAAAACTCATAACGTCGACACATCAGATTTTGTCATCGTCCAAGCCTCTGCTTGAGTGACTTATAGAGCTTGGTTTTTGTTCGTTGAGAGAGGACTTTACTTTTCCATTGTCTACTCAGTCCGAAGTAGCACCTGTTGACAACAGTCATTCTGCTACGAAAGCTGGTTCCAAGATAGTTCCAAGATAGACGAAATTATATACGACTAAGAAGTTACGACGACTGTTTTTTTAATGACAGCAGATATTTCATCTTGTCCATGTTTACTACCAGTCCACTAATTTTCTACATATTTTAACTTTCTTTGTCACAAACCATCGTTATATCCAACAAATCATTATACCCAACCCATAGGTGCATGGGTACAAATACGTACATTAACTTTCAAAGGCTCTACATCGCTCTCAAACACAGTTCTTTGTAGTCGCCTTCGGGCCTCGATGCTGACCATAGCAAATAAAGCAAATCTTATCGCCACGATTCTCACACATTCAAAAAACATTATTATTTTTAATTAGAAACTCAATAAAAAGGAGCTGCGGCAAACAGATATGTACATATGAATATGGGTAGAATAAAAGGCACCGAAGCGCTAAAGAAAGTGAAATGCGTAGTTTGGTAGAAAATTAGGGGGTTGCAACACTTATATTCTACATTTATTTACTTTTTCTTCACTGCCCACACTCCAGCGTCGGACTACCTGTCTTGGTCGGTGTTCGAAATTATTGAGGTGTACCGCCGTATAAAAAGGATTTGATTTGATTGACGTGCAGGAAATGGCAGGTATCGCTTTTGATTTTTATTTCTTTATTATAATTGGAGAAGAATGGGGAAATCGCATGAAGACAGGTATCATATGCGCGCAGGCACTATTGTTTGTAATGATCTAACAAATTTTGGTTGAACATTATTATATTTTTCTATTGATCTTTGTGTGTGGATGTGCATGCGAATGTGTGTTTATATGCGTGTCGTCGATCCATTTCTTGATTTGGTAATTTTTATATAATTAGATACATACAAATTGGCTTTAAATGACAGGAAATTTAGACATAGTTTAGGCGATCTCTCCGCCGTTTCCAAAGTACTGCGTAATTTCCGGTCATTTTTCTAATTATTATAAAGGGTATGTAATACGAGTACAGATTAGCATCCATGAAGAGATTGGGTGCAAGCTAAATATATATGCACATATATAAATATTCTCTAAATACTATATAGAAAAGCTTTTGACAGCACGAAAGGAGTTAGCTCTACCCGCGATGTCCGAATTTGGGATCTCCGCAAAACTAATACGGCTGAGTAAACTGACGTTCAGAAATAACAAAAGCTCCTTCAGGATCGGGAAGAACCTCTCCGAGCCATTCAATACCAAATAAGATTTCAGACAAGGCGACTTTCTTTCGTGCGACTTCCTCAAGCTGCTCTTGGAGAAAATAATTCGCAGAACTAAATAGGGAAGRTACCATCTTCTATAAGAGTGTACAACTGCTGGCGTACGCCGATGACATCGATATCGTTAGCCTCAACAACCGCTACTTTCTGCTTTCTCCAGACAGGGTAAGGAAGCGAAGCAAAAGGAACTGTTGACAGTCATAACTTCGAAGTTGTAGTTCGTCTATCTTGGAACCAAAATTAACTGCAACAAGAAAGTCAGCTTCGAAATCCAACGCAGAATAACTCTTGATAATAGTTTGAATTTCGGACTTAAGAAGTCCTCTCTCGACAAAGAAAAATCAAACTCTATAAGTCACTTATTATTTTCAACCTGCTATATGAGGCAGAGACATGGAGGATGACAACATCTGATGAGTCTACGTTACGAGCTTTCGAGAGAAAATTTCTGCGGAACATTTATGATCCTTTACGTATTGGCCACGACGAATATCGCATTCGATGAAATGGTGATTTGTATGAGTTATACGACGACATTGACATAGTTCAGTGAATTAAAAGACAGCGACTACGCTGGCTAGGTCATGTCGTCTGAAGGAGCGAAAACACCCCAGCTCTGAAAGTATTCGATGCAGTACCCGCAGCAGGAAGCAGAGGAAGCGAAAAATCTCCACTCCGTTGGAAGGACCAAGTGGAGAAGAACCTAGCTACTCTTGGAATCTCCAATTGGTGGCAAACAGCGAAAAGGAAGAACCACTGTCGTGCTGTTGTAAACTCTCCTATAACCGCGTAAGCGCCAATAAAGAAGAAGAAGTATTTAAGAAATACTGATGAAGTAACAATTTTTGGTTAATTATTTATTTGCACTATTTCTATACTTGGACCCGACTGTCTTATAAACACATACATATGTATAAATAAAGTTCTCGAAATTTTTCCTCAAAGCACTAGCACCGCACAGGTGACAATTGAAAGGGAAAATAATCGCAAACAGAGCTGTGGCGAGGAAATCGCGCCCCTGAGATGATTGCAGTGAAGTATTGTAGAACAAAATCTGAAAAAAAATTTTTTTTTTTTTTGCATAACACGGGACTATCCTGAGAACTGGAGGCTCGTTAGGAATTGTCCACGATATCCCCAGCCTAAGCGCAAACAGTTTTAGCTCTCTCTAATGATTAGCGGAAATAATTTATTTAACTCTATCTGCAAAACATCCTCTTTATAAAAGAGCCAAATTTTTGCTGGAGCCGAAATTTTTCCTCATCTCAAGTAATAGGTAGTAATTGTCTCGTATTTCTTAAGCATCTTAGAAACTTTGTGACAAAATTTCCATCAAAAGTTTTTTCGATTGAAATTTGAGAAATACTCTGCTTTGATTGCTCTATTCCTCTCATACACAGAGTCTAACAAGGTATCACGCCTTGCAAAGTCTTAAAGCGATGAATTTACTTAGTAGAATTCGGTAAAGGAAGTTTGGTATAGTTTAAGAGAATATGAAAAATTTCTAATGAAACTCTTTAGCTCACTCACAGTTATTTTTTTCGCTCGGTCTAAATTTTATTCTAAAACGAAACATCAGTTGCTTGTGTTAAGATGAAAATTTTATCACTGTTTTCCTGAAAGCGAAGTTGCTCTAAAGTAAAAACCACAATCTTATGTATCTTCATTTCTTATTATTGTATATTTTTTTTTAAATTACATAGGCTAAATTTTTAAAAAATTTTCTCTAATTCAACTATAATGTAATAAACTTAATGACAATGTTTAACAATTGTGTGATAATCACAACGATGAAATGCATTCGTTAATGACGCTGGAAACGTGGACATTAACAAAAGCCTCTCCTCTACTTTAAAGCTTTATATTTAACGGCAATTGACGACAGATCCTGGCTGGTGGCTGCACGTCTGGAAGACTTTATCACTGAGTGTAAAATTGTTTTGTACTGGGAACTGCTGCGGACGCTGCTTGGCTTAGTTTGACTTTTGAGCGCCTACCATGGACGCCAGACATCCTCCTCCTCAGCTTGTGCTACATTGGTAGCTATGCGTGCATCGATGGGCGAATGACCACTATAGGTGGTCAGCAGACTTTGACTCATACAACTGCTGCTAAGCTTCTCACTGCTGGCGCTCGAGTTCGGACTGCCATTGTAACTGGAAATGGGCGAAATGGGCACGGAGTAATGTGCGCGACTGGTGTTGCTGGCAATGTTTACAGATAGTGGCGCATTGATGGGTGTTGGTGGCTGTACGGCAGGTTGCAGTTGATTCAGACGCTGGCCAAGATGTGTCATCAATTGGGTGCCAAGATGCACATTCACATCGGGTAGCTGTGAGAGTGAGCGTGATACCTCGTTAACGGCATGTATATAACCGGAACGGAAGCCCTCAGCTTGTGACATAGCGCCACCCTTGGAGGCGGCGGCCTTGCGTTGTTGCTTCAATTTCTGTAAATGCGTAACGGTCAACTCAAGTATATCGGCCTTCTCCAGCCGCGTCACATGCTCGCCCTCCGACTCCAGTGTGACGACCATTAAATCCTTCAGCTCATCKAGACACTTGTTGATGCGTGCRCGCCGCTTACGCTCCAACATTGGTTTCATCACTTTGCGGTACTGATAAGTCTTAGACATTTCCGATACTTGGATGGACATTGTGTTATAAATTTTATTGARTATTCTCTCTCGTTAGTTCGTGTGTGTTGCACTAAAATCCAGTGTGTGTTTCACTGTTGAGTGTTTGCGGTGGAATGCATGCYGCTRTCCTTAGTCAACACCCTTTTATACTCCAACGGCATGTACAGGAATGTGAGTATGAGCGCTAACGCTGCCGAGCACAACCCTCAAAACTATTCCGTATTCGTAAAGTAAAGACACACACAAGCTGGAGTCGTTGAGAGTCGTACGCTCACTCGTCCTTTTTGCGGTCTTGACGTGCGTGTTGTTGTGGTGTTTATTGTGCGCTCACGTTAAAGTAGAAATCAACCCTCTATTTTCTTATCCACGCTGCTTCGTCGCTTACATGCCAGCACACATACGCACCCCTTACACTACTATCTTCCCGTTCTCCCTGCCAAACTGCCCATTCCTTAGCATGTCTATCTATTTTTTATGCTTGTGTCTTGCAAGTCACCCTGCTTGCGTTTGTGCCCGGCATTCGATCGCTCGATTTATAGGGGAGGAAATCAAATTTCACAATACACATAAAGACGCAGGATCTTTGATCGCTCCAAACCGTGGGAACTACGTTCCTTGTAAGTTTCTCACACGTCGTATGTGCTCACCTGCGCATGCGGCCAGAAGACAGCCGGACAATATGCCAGTCAGCCCATCAGCCAGCGAACAAACGGCGCGTTGAGCAAGGATAAGGGCGCACACAAACACCCTTATGGAGTATGCGGTTGCATTGCCATACAGTCAGCCGGATTGCGTTGAGTCGGGTGTTTCGAGCAAAGCATGGGAATTTTGCAATCTGGTCGTCCGTTATGCGGTCTCTACGGCTATGAAGGACGGCTGGCGTGCATTGAGCTGTACGGAGTTGCGCTCTGTACGACTGTAATGAGCTGAAACGTCGCAGCTGTGTTGTGCTACTGCCGTTAACATTTCTTTGATTCCGATTTTTCAGTACTGTGCATAGCTTGTGTGTAATAGTCCTTAATCGTTGTATCCTGTTGCACATAAGGAGCAGCAAATTGTATGCATGAAAAGTAGTAGACGAGAAGAATAACAACACTGCATTATAATTGAAATGATATCAGCGCATTGTAAAGCAGAAAAAAAAAATAGGCGAAGAAAGCGCAGTGAGACAGGGAATTCCTTTAAAGTGCACAACAGTTGCTTTGCTGTTGTTGCTGTTATTGTATATAGTTTTTTCAGCGCAACTGTGCGTTAATGGAATGAAACGTAATGTGGGAAAGCGTTCCCACGGTTGCAGCGGCCACGGGTCGTTAGCATTAACTCGCATGTATGCACAGCGTTAGCTAGCGCTACGGAAAGTGAAAAGGTGTGTGCGTGCTGTTGTTGTTTTTGTTGGCATATCGTGACGTTTTAGCGGCTTACAGTGTGCTTGAGTATCATAACGACTTCCTGCCGCCTGCCAATTGGGCGCTTTGTCTCATCTCGTCGTTGGCTGCATTTATGCGCAGTCAGTTTCTGTTGGCGCTTTTTGTTGCTTTGCCCTCGTTGGCCGAAATGTGCACGCGAGCGCACTTGTTTTCTCGCCGCGTACTTATGCTTACATTTTTCTTGTATGCGCTTGTATGTTGTTGTGCCGCGCGTATGCGCTCAGCGCGGACGTGTGTGCTGCGCATGCGCGGCTGACTTTGCTTTGTCGCTGACATTGACGGTGCTCGTGTTGGTATTGTAATGATTTTCAATTAAAATGCAAATATAATTACTTGGTTTTAGGGCTAGTAATGCTCGGCGCTTGCGCTGCGGTACTTTGTAGTTTGACCTTACGGACTTTTAAACGCGTGTAGCGTGTTAAGTTTAAAGAACCGCAGCAATTGTTTCGTGGGAACATTGGAGCTTTTGAAGTATGAGACGCGCGTCGGACACAAGTTGGGGTTATAGCCAATTGTATGGAGCCAAACTGGTTTGTTTCTTATGCTAGAAGTAATATTTGTTGCATTATATGTATAATCACTGAAAATGTACGCTGCCACACCAACTTTATATTAGATAAATAAACATAAAAAATACGGATTTGCTTTCGGTGAATTTTCTACAAGAATCCGCGAATATAGTTCGACAGTAGCGAAATTGGGCCCTATTCTGCATCGTGATTCGAAAATGTATTCTATTTGAAATTCGGATTTCTCTTATAATTATGTGAAAGTTGCACTACTATGTGCCGGAATGAATACTTACATATATTTTTCGTTTTTGCTTTCTACAACTCAAAAGTTAACCAATATTGTATTTGAAATTAGGAAAATCGAGTTATCGAATGCAAAAAAATACCAACTCGAATTTTGTTTCGATTTCGCCTTCAGAGGAAGGTCCAAGGTTTCATGTCACACTAAAAGAGTGTGGATGGAGCAGTGGTACGCGATCTAGCAGCGTAACTTTCCACATCTATACGGATAAATCAAAAATAGCTGATAGAGTGAGCGATCTATTTCGTGGAGCCAGCCAGTGTCTTCCAAGCAGAAACCTATGCGGTCAGGTACGGGCGACTGATATTGACTGGGTTCCAGGGAAACGAAATACATAGCTTATGAGATTGCGAGAAGTGTCATCCACTTGGCTAAGAAATGAGTTTAGAAAATACGCAAAAATACAGAAAAATGGGTTGACATCACACGCTAGCCATATGGCCATCAGCAACGTTGACGTATGTGGAGAGTGCAGGGAAGTTGGTATAAAAACGACGTTGCAGCATCTCATCTGATTATTTCCAGCTTTATCTAGAATTGGGTTTATATATGTGGGACTTTTGAAGTAGAAGGGGTTGAAAGAAGAAGCAGAATCATATCTCTATTGAACTTTGTGAAAAGCGTAGACGTTTCGTACGACGTAAGCTTCAGCTCGTATTATTAATGAACCTCCATCCGGCTTTACAAACGAGATGTAGTATGAAGACGTTTGAACTATTCTCAATAGTGGCCGTAGGTGGTACCAATGGCTCTCTTAGTAAAAGCTGTTGCTTTCGCTCAACGCAATTATTAGCTCCAAAAGACATATTTAGACGATATGCAAAACTCGTTCTTCTAATTCTTAGTTCTTGGGWTCTAGATGGGGAACACAGCTATTTTTTATGACTATCCAAACGTTTCCAYTCCCCAACAAATTCGAAGTATGAAGTTGTCACCATCTCTTTGATACTAAAATCGCGGTTATTTTTAGTTAGAACAACTCTTGGTTCGGAAACAAAACAAAAGCGTGTTATTCTTCTTTTTAATTTGCGTAAACACCGCTTACGCTGTTATAGTTGAGTTGGCAACAGCGTGCYAATCATTCTTCCTTTTCGCTGTTCGATGCCAATTGGAGTTTCCAGGTGTAGCTAGGTCCTTATCCACCACGCTGTGTTCTACATATTAGCATTAACAAGGAGAACTGCAATGAAGTTCGTATACTATATTTGGAGAACGTCAATAACGTTAAAAAAAAAAAAAAAAAAAAAAAAATTGGTGATAAAACGGATTGTTTATTTCATTATATTTGGTATTTATATTTGAAAAACTCAGAACTTCTACTGAAACGCTAATTGATTAAATTTCCAACGTGCCTTCCGCTGACCAGACTCAGTTTAAGACTACTTGATATTTGTTATGTGATTACTTTCGCTTTTAGATAAATATATGGTACACTGGAGCATAGTCAGCTATCTAGCTTTAGTACCAATGACCATTAACTTTTACATATTTGACTATTTGATCTCATATGATTGGTGCTTCTCATCAAATAGACTGTATTCGTGCAAAAATATTTACCATGTAACTGATGATCCTAGTATAGAAACTTTTTCCAATAGCCTTTTCTAGACAGAACACGCGTAAGTCGTGTAAAGCTGTCATGCTATTTTAGTTCAGTATTTTTCGGCGTTTCATTGAAYGTCCGAACAACGTTTACAAATCGTTYAACTTTATTACTAAAATTCACGTTCTGTAAAGAATGTGTTGCGCTCGCTTCGCTCAACTTATGGGTATTATAATTGGCCTACTGACCATCAGCTATCTTGAGACCCAGCATTCATTACTGCATAATATTCGACCAAATAGATCACGTCCAGYACGCAGTGAAGGCAAAATAGCCGACATCGCTTCGCTCTATGCTCTATTGAAAAGTTCCAAGAAGATACGACATTTTCGAGATAAATTTTGTTCAGCGATGAAGCCTAGTACTTAATCAGTGAAAACAACCTAAATTGTCACATTTTGGACGAAGAGCAACCAGAAGAGATTCAAAAGCTGCCATTGGTTTGTAGGCTGGTGGAATAATCGGTCCATATTTCTTCAAAAATGATGCCAAGGAGAACGTAACCGTCAATTGCGACCATTATCGCGCCACTRTAACCGGCAATTTGATATCTGAAATTGAAGGTCGYGAWCTCGGTTATATTTGGTTTCAATAAKACGAGCCACTTCCTACACATCGCATTAATAAATGTTAGACTCTTTCCAATGGGGATATGTAAAGTCTAAAGTCTATGTGAACAATCACGCTTCGATTGAGAACTGGAAGCAAAAAATCACGTGTGTCTTTCACCAGTTACCATTCGAAATCCTTGAACGAGTCATCGAAAATTGTACTCAGTGGATAAACCAGCTGAGACGTAACCGCGACCAATATTTGAAAGAGATAAACTTCAAAAAATTAATGCCAAAAACGTTCTTTCCAATGATAATAAATATTCCTCACTAAATTTGAAGTTTTTGTATTTTTTCTTTAAAGAAGTAGTGAGCCTGGTAATGAATCAACCTTAGATGAAAACTATTTGGTCCTTGTCGGTGTGTTAAATTTTAATTTTCTGTGTCGATCACAATCTTGATATTTGTCCAATGAAAATCGGCTCGTTTAAAAAAGATCGACTGGACTCGATTAAAAAGGATCAACGGAAAACAGTGTRAGCTCCCTATATCGAATTACTCGAGCGTTGTTCCAGTTTCTTTGACAGTCCCTATGAGTTGCTTTAAGCGCATTCTTCTTTTTATGGTTTTTTAAAGTGCTTAACTTCAGTGTTGGCTTCTTAGTCTAGTTGGTTAGTCTTGTTTGCCACCTTTCGTATATCGACTCGATTGTTAAAGTTTGGCTAAAATCAAGCTCCCAATGAAGAATTATTTGTATTCAAAACTYTATTATTTTAGTTTGTAAATATTAGATTTATTAGTTGAGAATGATAAATTGAGCATGTACTTAAAGCTACAGTAAASTCTAGTTAATACAAAAGCATTTTCGTTAGAAATAAATTTAAAGCAATTAGACCAATAATTTAGCAAAATATACAGATGTTTGGAAGCGCAAATTAAGATTAWTATAATATATATATGAACATAACTWTATATACTTATAGGTAACTGATAAAAGTGTTTTATAATTAGATTAGAAATTAATGAGAAAAATATATATGCAATGTAAGCTTTAAATCACTTATAAATAGTAGGAGTAAGACATTATTTATATAAGTCTATTTCTAATATACTTGGAAGTATGTGGGGAGTTCTGGAGATCGGTTTACGAACAGACCAATCGCTAACTGAGTGGAGTTGGCGGCTATCACAGGCAAATCACATTAATACAACTATAAAAGGCTGACAATTTGTACTTAAAACAATAAAGCTGATATTGATTAAACTAATGCAACACATATGTGCGCATATACACACTTTCATATATATACTATGTGTAAGATATTATTCAAACATTATTTTATATTATTTAAAACACTACAAACACTTAAAACTATTAAAGCCACTGGCTGGTGAGTGTGTAAAAACGAAAGCTCTTTGAAAATACGCGGCAGCACCGCATGYTGCAGGTTGCGCTTTGTTGCAGGCGGTACTACCAAGGGCGCCATAAGCATTCACCGTGTTGCTCGTCTGCATGCAAATCCCTCAAATTATCGCACATTTGTAGTTGGTGTTGTTGTTGTTGTTGTTGTTGTTGGTAAGCGCGCCTCATATGTTCATCAGCATGCAAAGCAGCGGTGGGTGAAGCCGATGCCGCGCGTTTCACCACCTCTAAATTGAGCGCCTCTTCACCAGCGGCAGCGTTRGGTGCTGGCGCTGGCTGTTGTAAATCYTTCAGCTGATAACCCAAATGTTTCATGAGTTTTGTGCCGAATTTCGCATTCAGACCCGGTACTGTGGCAAATACGCGCGACACTTCGTAAGCGGCTTGCGTATAGCCAGCGCGAAATTTCTCCACATTTATGCCGCGTACAGCTGGTCCGCTGGCGGCATGATGCTGTGCAACGCTTGCGGCGATTTCGTGTTTATGTGTACGCAAATAGTTGACGGTCAGCTCGAGAATGTCGGCCTTCTCCAGTTTGGCRATGTGTTCGCCTTGCGCCTCCATTGTGTCCACAATGAGATCCTTCAGTTCGTCCAAGTAGAGATTCATGCGCGCGCGTCGCTTCCGCTCCAGCAATGGTTTGGTGACCTTRCGATAGTGTTGCGTCTTGGTCATGAAGCGTTGTCCGTCCACAGCCATGTTGTATGTATGTAATTGTGGTGGAGATTTGCAAGTGCGCGCTAAGCGTCTTAAAGTTGTAGAACAAGTGTATGCGCGCTACGTTTGTATGTTTTTGTCACAGCACTACTAACGAACAGGTTTTCACATTTAGATTATTTCTCGTATATGTTTTCAAGTTTTTCACACCGACAGCGCCAAGTGTGTTTGGTCGTAGCCGATATAATATGTTGAATGTGTCAAGTCTTTACCGCACGGTAGCTGTTTGAGAAATGATGCAAACGCAAGGTATTGCCATCCTTTTGTARCCTTGCGCTCGGTCCGCACACTTGTGCACCTCGTAAAGTGTGCRCGCATGTGCGCTRCTTGGCTGCTGCCACCCTTAAAGTAAGTAACACCAGCTTCGCACTTTTAATAATTCTCTATGTCCACAACCTGTTGTTGTTTGGTGTCGCTCCCTCGTCATTTGCGTTCCTTCACTGTTGGCCGTTTAGCTCTGATTCGTATTGTCTGTAGCCGGCATTGCGCTCGTTTCGTACACGATCGGTTCGGTTGGTGTGCGAGCGCCAGACGTGCGTCTTCAGMGSCTTCAAGTATAGCGCGTACCAGCAGCCCTCTGTGTCTTTGTCTGTGCTCCGGTGGTTGATCGTGCGCTTGCTGTGCTCTCGTGCATTACCTTACCTTTGTATACTGGAATGTATTATATGTTGGTGGCGGAGCATAGGGTGCGCCTTTCACGTGCACGCAGAGCGACATTGTTTGATGAAAGTACACTGTGAAATATTTTAGTAGTTGTGTGAAAAGGCGATGTTTAGTAACTGCACTTCTTAACAGTTTTTTCTTAATCTTTTTAGTAKYCGYTTGCTAWACTAACCAGGTTTTCTATTAAGAAAATCATTATCTGTGGTGGGTAAGCAGTTTCAGTTGTAGGACTATACACAATTCCTACTCTTACGTCTTTGCCGCGCACCCTGGAAACGTGAGGAACCCTTGTGTAAGATTCGGTAGCCAACCCGTGTGAAACCTGGGGTCACGGCTTAAATGAAGGAAGCTTCAGCGGTTCCACTCCGACATATTCGGGTTCGCTAAAGTCTAATAAAAGATTCAGAGGTGCGGTATCTAGCGGCCGTCGGTCTTGAAACAAGCGGCTTGCTATATAAATGTGTATAAAGCTTTATACTACTCGTCCAGCGATATTGCGACAACTGAAAGGGAAAAAACAGTTTCGGAGGAAAGTCATAATCTGATGTTGACGACGCGATTAAAACGATACCTTAAGAGTTCCCTTCTTCAATATTTCTTCAGGGACTAGCTTCCGATATGTAGTACAGGCACGTAAAACATTTCTCAGATCCCGTGGATACCAATTTATAATCCTATAGAGCTAACGGCAGAACTCTTTCTAAGAATCTCGTTTCCCCAAACACCCTTAATCGACCTATGAAAAATAATTCCTGCAGTTGTCCTTCAACTTCTGAAATTTCCCAAGAATAAACTTAGTGGTCATCATATAATTCTTAGAGTTTAACATACAAGGATCTCGATCCCATATTTACTTAGCCTCACCGTTCAATGACGCCACTATTGCATTTGTAAGGGGACCCGCATTTGAAAGTGGGCGCGAGATTGTTGAGACAGAGATCATTGTAAAGCAGTGCTGGTCCCTGTTTAAGCGCCATTCATGAAAACTTCTGCGTTGATTCCTCATAATTCACGGAATCAGGATTCACTGTAGCACATCAGAGGCCAAAGAACAGTCTCAAAATGGACTTCATTCGGCGATTCTGATCTRTAGGCGAAGAGGTCAGTCAAAAAGTCATGGCTACCATTTTATGAGATTTACATGGTCCGTGTACCTGTGATGAAACAAAATTCTCACAGGGTTCAACTACTGTGGTTCACTGATACTTGTCGGACCGCTCTTGTATTCAAAGCCGCACTACTATTTAACAGAAGAAAATGGGGATTTAACTTCTCTTCTCGAGTGTTGCCGGCTGTTCTATTCCTGGTGTCAGATAGGCAGATTATAGTTTACAATCCTAGTTCCAAACCTGCTGTTAAAAATGTAAAAAATTATATACAAAGCAAGTACGAAAAATGGTTTCAGAGCAAGGAATATTATTTTTTTAAAGAACAAAAAAGTTAGGAGATGATTTAAGCTAAYAAAATGATCGGTTAAACTTGAGGCCCATACTATGAATATGGTATAAGAAATGGTAACCTAAGCATATAATACAGGTCACTATTTAACCTATATCCATTGCTGACGAATGGTGAAAAAATTCACCAAGAGGAGATGTTTTTAAAATATTTTTTCCAGTGTACTTTCCTCATCAACACAGCGATCGAAGYGATATCTAGAGCACAGCTCACCCCAACAACTTGGTACGAGTATAACGCTCGTGCGAGATCACGACGACCTTTGACAAACAAACACTATGCTCTTTGCTCGCTCCTTTGGCACTCAGCGCACTGACTTCTTTCTTGCGTACGACAYACAGYCAGTCAGCAATCAAACCAACAAGCCGATCCACCACCAAACKTTCAATGGTCACACGCTCGGGCTCGTGTTTTTYCCCCCGTTCGGTATGTCGGCTGCGTGTGCAATGCCCGCTTGCGTGCTTGCATGMGTGCGTCGGAAGGGATACCATAAGCAGCATTTACAATACACCACTTTGTTGTGTTACTCGATGTCTTACAGCCAAAGTAAGGCATAACGACACTGTCCGTGCTCGGCAATTTCGGACCTTTGACTGTAGACATACATACATATGTGCATACTTATGTGCATATGGGCGGTGGTGACTGGTGATGGAGTTTTTGTCGTTATGTTTCATTTCCTGTCAGCTCTCACAGAAGAAATTGCGCTGCATCGCATGCAATGAGAAGAAAATCAACAACAATAACAGCAGCAACAGTAATAAATGCCACCAACAAGCTAGCCRAGATCCACTGTGTGACGCATTGTAATGATGATGAGCACGTTCATCATAGTGTTTATATTTAGCAGAAGAACTGTAACAACAATATCACCCATACACTGCTGTGAAAAAAATTGTAGTACACGGAATTTAATACGATTGCAACAGAGGTGGTTTTAATTTGGTTCAGTTATTGTTAAGCTCTGATAATTGTTTGGTCCTATTGCTTTTATCTGTACTACAGACGAATATTTATAGCACAGCTTTACATAACTGGAGACATATTGGTGGTTTAACTTTTATGTCGAGAGATGATAGCTATAAGAAAAGAAATTCTCTACTTTYTTCTTACCAAAAGCCCTAGTTCTCAAGCTCTTCAGCTTTCGTGATTTTAACCCACGATCACCCAGCAATTAGGTCAAATAGGGCAACAAACGTTTATAAGAAAATTTAGGTTAAGTTGTTGTCAGGATAGATAATATCGATATTTTTTAACTTTTCCAACAAATAGGCATTACTTTTCCAACGTTCAAATTACTGCGACGTTACATTTCAGACAGCTAGATGGACCTGAGAGGTATTTAAATAATCAAATACACAGATTTTCGAAACATTTCTAAAGAAAATCTAGAAAAATATGTGAGGTTAAAAACATTCAGAAACTTATTTGCATAATATCGGATTTTTCAATAGGGACGCTACAAAAGTAGACCGATAGGCACAGCAAACGATGCCAGCTTTTCTCCCGCTGTTTTGATCTTTCCCTTCAGAAAAGTTCGCCATTTCATCTTGACAAGATATATGATYCAAAACCGAGTTGAATTGATTAAAATTTACTACCGAAATTCGGAGTCAGTGGCCACAACTTTAAGAGCGCTACGTCCAAWTTATGGTCATCATTATCGTCCTCTCAATTCACCAATTGAGCRTCTAGTGCAAAAATTTGAATCCAAAGGCACAGTACAAAATGTTTCCGTGACAGTGAAACAAAGAAGTGTTCTTAGTATTGAGAATATTACTGCCGCTGGTGTAGCAATTGAGGAAGACTCAAATCAGTCTCTCACACGTCATTCTCAGGCGTTGCGCATCTTAGTGACTTCGTTGTGGCGAATTTCTCGAAAAGAGCTTGGCCTACCTCCTTACAAGATCAAATTGACGCAAGAACTAAAGCCGCTTGACCACGAGAATCGTGGTATGTTCGTGAATTGGGTTTCATTGTTGAGGCTCATTTTTGACTGAATGGATTCGTCAATACGCAAAATATGCGTTATTGGTCAGGCAGCAATCCACACGAACTCCATGAGTCTCCTTTGAATCCCGGAAAAGTTACGGATTGGTACGGTTTATGGGGCGGTGACGTCATTAGGCCGTAGTTCTTCCGTGATGCTTTATCATCGTTACCGTCATGTTACTGTGAATGGGAATCGCTACCGCTCAATGATAACTGAATATTTTTTGGTCCGMATTGGATGATGTGAACTTGGACAATATGAGGTTTTAACAGGACGGCACCAGAAGCCGCATAGCGAATGTCATAATCGATTTATTGAATACCACGTTTGGTGAACGTGTTATCTAACGAAATGGCTCAGTCTCGGTAGAGTGATTTGGCGCTGTTAGACTATTTYTTGTGGGGCTACATTAAGTCTATGGTTTATGCCAGCAAGCCCGCGACGATTGATGAATTTCGTACGAATATCGATCCTGAAATTGCAACAGTATCGGCCGATTTATACTTGAAAACCGCTGAAAGTTGGGTTCAGTGTCTGGATGTTTGGCATGGCCAAAGAAATCGAGTTCGACATATAATGTCGAAACCGAATGGAATGTACTTTCACATTAATAAATTCATTGATATCCCAAACCGTGTTTGTTTTACTAAAAAAAAAAGCAAAAAAAAAGCAAAAAAAAAAAACTTTTGTAGCGCTATTATTTTATTTATTTATAGTTATTTATTTTATTTTTTTATGACCGATTTTACATAAGATATTTGACAGAGTACGAATGCAAACCCTATTTCGAAATTGCCCGTGGTTCACATAGACGATCAGGAYCAGATTCTGTCGCTCAATAGCTATAAAGAACAAAAGTGAAAATTATTTGCAATTCCACATTTCTGCACACGAGTGTTAAGAAACGAACAACGGAAGAAATGCGTGCATATTTCGGCGCATATATACTATACATACATATATACATATGTATATACTATATCCATCATGCATAGTAGATCGTATGTCTGCTTGTGCGATCGATATGTTTGTGCACATTGTGCACTGCTGTCATTTGGTTCGGTTCGGTTTTGGTTAGGGGAGTTTCAGCTATGTGTGTCAGGATCGTGAGAAACTTTTCTCCCTGCTTTCCCACCGTGCGCACTGATCGCACTCTGATC